CGGTAGTTATAGGATCGGCCCTGATCGATAGAGAGAGAGAATAGCAATTTAGAAACAAGTCCAGTTAAATGCGTCTATGTTTGAAATTAAACGAATTCGTGTAAAAGTAGAATCGACAGAATTGAGGAAAATACAGCAGTTTTTATGAAAGGAAAGCAAAGAAAATTATCAGGAAAATGAATTTTACAAGCAACTTTAGTGAACATAAATAGAGATAGAAACAGTTTGAACTCCAGGGTGAATAGGAGATTGGCTTTGCACCATAAACAAATTTCAGATAATTTCTCTTCACTACTTCGATGTGCTTTTAGATTTGGCCGTTCTAGAGGTTAATTTGATCACTTAAAAGACAATTCTACATTTTAATCTAGTTAAGTCCAGATTTGTAATTTGATATATTTGCCGTGCAAAGGTGGGAGTTTATTTTTGTCTTTTATTTGTCTGTAATTTATTTAATTATTTATTGCAGAAAAAAAACCACATAGGGAGTTCTCAAGTCAGGCACTAACTTCTGTGATTAAAACCTAACTAACAGAGATAAAACGATAAAATTTTGATAGTAAAATGATAAATATCTGTCTATATCCCTGAGATGAGGTATTATTTACATTATTCGGACTGTTATCCTCATCCTTATGGACACATGGCCCAGTGTTTAAAGACGTTGGTTAGAGCCAGTGACTAGACTCAAAGAGTTGTGAGTATACCAGGCCACAGCAGTGGTGAGTCAAAACATGGAGAGAAATAACTGAGACATCTGGAAGAGGTATGGCACGTGGAACTAGAATAATCTGCCTCGGTGGACGGAATAAAGGGTTCGGTTCTAAATTCCAACCACCTGAAGAAGGCCGGAGCGTACAACGGCCGAAACTTTGTGAAGATGTCAATGAAGATGAGGATAACAGTCCGAATAATGTAAATAATGCAAGTAAAATGATAAATTTCGAAAGAAATTTGACAAAGAAAAAAGCTCCTCCTTTACGATGGACATACACACGATATCCACTTATTAGTTATCAAACATATAATTATTTTTTAGACAGTTGTGCTCCACCATGTGACCTTGTGATGTTGTTCTCTATTCCTACCGATGCCAAAATATGGTATATACAGGGTGCGATGGATAAATTGTCGTTATTTTACCTTTTTTTTTTAATTTCGCGCATGCGCGTTGTTTGTTTTCGATTTTGTCCTATGGTAAATCCGTTGCGCACCGCCTCTGAGAAAAACAGTACTATGACGCAATTCACTCCGGCAGAAAATTTGGAAACGGCATATTTTTTGGTGACAGTGCAAATGATTCAGAAAGATTTAGCTGAGTCTAATACTGATTAAGAAGGTACGGCAGCTCAGCTCACATTGCTTGTTCCGATAAGAAAAGAACTCCCGAATTTGTTGGGGGGGACCTCAGACTCCGGTTTTTAGCAAAGTTCAAATTACTATTTATAAACACACACCTTCGCCGATTTTTCCCGATCGACCATATCTGCTCTGAAATTAACCTAATTTAATCCATTTCATATGAAACCGGAAGTTTTCTCTGACTGAACGGTCATAGGTATAGGATACAGGTTCAATTCCAGTCGGAGGACACATATTTTCTATGATCTTTCTGGAACATTCAGGCTAGTAAATGTAAGTAATACTGTTTAATTAAAAAAGAGATAATTTATTCAAATAAGTGTTTCCATAAAAAAACATATAAACAGAAAGTATATTTAAATATATGTACGTACACCCTTGTACAAATTAATTTCAATTAACCGCTTTAGTTTCCTTTCTTTCAACATACGCTCAGTTTTAAACCCAATGGAGTGACAGGGTATAATCGATTTCTATTTTTTCCTCAGATTTGGTCATTTGCAATGGTGTGCAGTAATATGAATCTATTTTCGTGTATAGTTTCTGTGATGTACTCATAAGATATTTACAAAAGCATTATATACACCCTTGTGCAAATTAATTGAAACAACCACTTTAGTTTCCTTTCTTTCACCATTCGGTCAGTTTTAGATCCACTGGAGTGAAAGGGTGTAATCGATTTCTATTTTTTCCTCGGATTAGATCATTTGCAGTGGGGTGCAGTAATATGAATCTATTTTCATGGTGTATGGTGAAATTTGTTTGGCCTTGAAAAGTATTGCGTCATCCGTGATTGCATCAGATTTTAATCACACCCAGACACTATTGCTTCGACTGTCGATGAGTTGTCCTACGACCATTGTCTGCGATGGACATTACTCCAAGGGTGCGTACGAAAATTGTAACGCTGCACGAACACACTGACAAGCCTAACCAGTGAGCAAAACAAAGTACTATAGATTAACCTTGAAACTCTCTTGATTTAAATCCAATCGAGAATCTGGTCAATCTGCAAGGAACGTCTTCGTGGAATGGACATACGAAGTATTAACATTTGCACTGGGTCATGTTTCATTGGAAAAATACGGAAGAAAATAAATAATAGCAGAATTATTTGTTTTGTTTCAATCAATTTGCTCAAGGTGTATGTATACATACATACATATATATATATATATATATATATATATAGAGAGAGAGAGAGAGGGGGTGAGATTGGGAGTCCATAAAGTTCATATACAGATCAAAAGATTTGTAACTAACATGATAAAAAACTGTAAAGAGGATAAGAAAGCTTTTTGACTATTTTTCTTGGTTTTGGAAAATTTATCTATTATTTGTTTTACCTATTATTTTTAAATTTCTTGAAACTTCAAAATTATTTCTTTTTTTTAGATTTGCTGTTTGAGTCCATTGAATTTCTTTTTATGAGGACATGCGAAAGTTGATGTTATTCAATTAAACCTCCATCTTTAGAGAAATTGCAAGCTAGGATTAATTAATGTGATTGAATGTATTACTGACAGCTGCACAATGTTTTCCGGGAACGACAGTTTTTGTACCTAGTAATGGTCACCGTCGTTGGCGGAACGCGTTGCCGAGTATTGGAGTGTTCATAGACATTTTCTTGTGTGTGAAATGAGTCCTATTTGGGATCTGAAGGGACTTCCGCAACCACCAGGACGGTTAGGGTGATGGGGAGCACTGCTTTTCTTTTGGGCTCACTTCGTCTCTTCTGTCTGTCTTCTGATGTTTTCGAAGGCTGCTGATTTTTTTTTTTTTTTTGTGGACTGCTCTTCTCCAATTCGTTCTTCCGTGTCACAATTCTGTCCTCATCAAGGTTGGTTTTTTTTTTTTTTGGGGAGGTTGTTTGGTGGGGGGCTGATCCTAGAATCGACGACGTGGAGATCGACGTAGTCTCTTGCCAGATGCGAGTCACGAGAAGAGGATTTGTTTGCAAAGGCAGACGTTTGGTAGGTTTCTAGGCTCTCCATCTTTGCGAGGAGAACTTTGTTGATAGTGATGCGGTCCTGCCTCAAGTTCTGCAGGATTTGACGAAGTTTCATTTGATGGAATCTTTCACATTAGCGGATTTCCCTTCAGTAAGTGTACCCAGATCTCACAGGCGTACAGGAAAATCGAGATTACAACAGTTCGGTAGACCATGAGCTTCCCAAAATTGCTGAAGACTCTTCGGAATAGCTTCCCCTATGCTGCGTGGGCGGCCTTGATTATGTTATTGACGCCTTTTCCAGCAGATGGATTTGATGTTAAAAAGGCATGGAAACTGTTTAATATTCTCCAGGTCCAGTCCGTCGATGGTGAATTTGAAACTAGGTGGTGGTTGATGTCCTGGTCGTTGTTGGAGCAGGACCTTTGTCTTTGCCACGTTGATGATGAGCCTGTAGCATATGTAGCCTCTGGAGAATGTGTCCGCTGAGTTCATTGGCCAGGGTACAGTTCTCGTCGGTGTATTGGAACTCTGTGACTCTTGCGTTTGTTATTCCCGTCCTGGACTGGGAGTGAGCTATGTTGAAGAGACCTCAATCGGTGCGGTATCGAAGTTCAGTTCCTGGGTTGCCATCTGGAATCTTATGAAGCATTGGCGTCAAGTAGAAGGATAGGAGCAAGTATGCACCCTAATTTAAATCCTCCTGTGATGGCAAAACGGTCCGAAAGGCCAGTTTGAAATTGGACACAACTCATCATTCCCTCTTGTAGAGCTCGGGTGAGCGCTGTGAATATCTTGGGGTATACGTAGTGCCTGAGCAGCTGCCACGTTGTTGGTCTTGAAACAATGTCAAACGATTTTTCGAGATGGTGGACATGTTGAAAATTAACAGTCCCAATAATAGATTTAAATACTTCTTACCCTTTTCTCAGATTGCTTCTATCATGTATAGTTACAATCTGCGAGTACTTTAAATTGCACACAGAAATTATGGGTACGCTTGATTATAATCATCAGATCGAGCAAACTTAGCATTCCATGACACGCTGCCTCCATCCATTCCTATCGTTCATTGCATTTGGAAGCTCATCCAGTCTGCATTTCGTGTCTTCAATCAGATGGTCAATGTACATTTTTGGTCGACCTTTTTCCACGGGATGGTATTCAGAATATAACGTCTTCAGATAGTTCTTTGCTATGCCAACAGTGACCAGCAAATCTTAGTCTTTGCTGGCGTATAGATTTGCTGATGGGAGGCATTTTGCCGTAGAGCACTTTCCTTGTTGGGTGATCTTTCCAGGATTTTTTTTAGTGCTGATCGAAGTATTCGTGTGTAAGCACCATCTAAACTTTTTTCCAGTTTGGCTGTTAGTGTCTAAGGAGCCATACAAATTTTACTGTAGCTTTGGAAAACTTTATCTTCAGTTTATCAAGATCAATTTCCAGATTTCAACGCATTTTCCAATCTGATGTTGACATCATTCTCAGTGGAGGCAATATAGATACTCGGGTATTTTAAATCGTCTATTTGCTGGATTTTTTTCTCCGTTCAGACTGTTCATGTCTGTCGATGTACCTTGATTCAGGCAGATGAAGTCTGTTTTACCCGCATTGGCATACAATGCAATCTCCTGGGTTACATTTTCGATACTGTGAAAGAGTGACGTTGCGTCTTTTAAATGGTCTGTCAGTATCGCTGGGTCGTCAGCGTAGTCAGTATCAGTGATCTTCTCGGCTGGATAGCGTCTGCTTTTCGTTTAGTGAAAGTGAAGACAAGCTGCAAGTTCTCATCTAGGGCTTTTTTCAAGACAGACGATGAAAAGAAAAGACGCAAGTGTTCCTTCCTGTAGGACTCCTGCAGTAATAGATAGGTGCTCTGATACAGCGTCATGATGGTTTCTACTATTGGCACCTACCATATACTAGAAACCGCCTACCCCGGTTTTATTACCGATCATGACTGTTTAAATTTCTCATGTTTTTTTGTTTTTTTTTAACATCCATTATCATCTCCTTCCTGAAAAAGATGTAAAAATCTATTAAACGGAATGAGAATGCTGAGGTAACAGTATCATCTTCGACAAAGGTTTTTGTTCTCTTTAAAAGGGCTCATCATCATCACTCCTATGCTCGATTGCGGTCTTAGGATCGTGGCGTAGCTGGGCACTTTACTAGCTACCTGTATATGTCTCTACTGCGGGTCAATGTCTGTGTCTCTGTAAATTATTTTTCAGTCTAATCGGTCAAAATATACTTCCCCTGCCTGACTTACGCCCACATCACGTTGAAACACCGGTTCTCGTACGATCACATAAGTTAAGTATCGTTGAGCTTTGTCAGTGCCTAGATGGGTGACCGTTTAGGAATACCAGATGCTGCAAGTTTGGATGCGGATGGTGTAATGGATAATGGCCCTGAATTGTTCATCGAAGATCCAAGTTTCAATTCCCTTTGTATTAAACTATACATCCACCTCCCCAAAAATTCTTAAAATATTTTCTGGTTTTAAATAACCTGCAATGAGTTGATAATCCGTAAAAAACGAATCAATCAATCAATCAAATACTGATTAGCTGCATATACGTGTCCTTTAGATCTATTTACAGTCTCTGGAATATAAATGTACAGACACTAAAGTGAACACAAAGTAGGGGATCAGTTTGTGTGTTGATAATAATATATAATTGATCCCCCATTTTATGTCCACATTACAATTTCTTGTTTGCTTATCCAATTCTGACGAGGTATGACTTCACATCCTCTATATTTATATTAATAGAATTATTCTTTTTGAGATAATAATGGTTTACTGATAAAGTCTTACTAATTAACCCGTAGCTAGGGGAGAAGTGATGGATTCCTACCTTTCTCAAGTGTATTTGCACGTAAGTGAATATAAAAAAACCACAACTAAAAGTGAGATTCGGCTCTCCAATTAATAATTTCGAGCTATTCTCCATTACACCACTCGCATCACCAAAGCTTAGAGCATCTGGTATTCCCAAACTGTCACCCATCTAGGTGCTGACCAAGCTTGACGGTGCTTAACTTTGGGAATTGATGTTTCTATTCTATATAGCCGTAAGCCATCTTTGGGCATAGAAGAGAATAAAAGAAAAAGGAGTCACGTACTTCCCTCTCCCCACCCCTTAATCAAAATTATATTAATGATCTTCAATGGTTGACTTACGGCTGTTGGCTCAGAAAATATATAGAATGGTGTCGATCGGTGTTAGGAAATTTGGTCTAAGAAAATTAGGTCAAGAAATATTTCACTTAGGGAAAATTGGGTTTGTAAAATTACGGAAATTATCTTTTAAAAAAACAAACAAGGAAATTAAAAGGATTCGAATAGATAGAAAATAATTAAAGAAATATTGACTAGAAATTAATCAAAGCACATTATGATATCATATTTTATTAAAAACACAGTAATTTAAATTTTTGTCTGAGAAAATTCGGTTATAAAAATTGAATTATAAATTTAAGAGATTATTTTAACTGTGCAATTGCTTGTAAGAGTCACGATTTATCGTTTTTAACTAACTATTTTACAAGGCTTGTTTCTTTTTCTATATACATGAATAGATACATTTTTGTCCAGCACTGTAAAAACCTATATATTCGTCTGAAAAAAATCAAGTTATCTTCTTATATCGACTCGTCAGATCTAGATTTTCATATGGATAACAATCACGGCGCTGAACCCATTCAGAAATGTATGAACTACCATTTGTATGAAACCGTTTTCTCCAATCTATAATTAAAAATACATTCAACCGAATAAGACCTATAAATCATAAAGACGGCAATACAACACATACCCTAGAGCCTGAAGCGACAAAACTGCAAAGAACTATACAAAATATTAAAAGCAAAAATACTAGAACATTTCTAACAAGAAGTGCAACTAGCAGGGCAAATAATAATATAATCAAGTTAACTTTCCTACAACCAAATACAAAAGTATTTGAAAGAAACTCACACTAGTATTCAGTCCTGGGTATGACGACAAACCAACAATATAAGAAAGATATAACATTTACTAGCATTGAGAATATTATTGAATATTGTGTGTGAGTTTCAATTTATAGTACGTATCCTTTTGAAAAATATTAATAAATTTTCCTGAGGCGTCGCGTTTTATTATGCAGATAAACTGGACGTAGAGTAAATTCTTACTTAAGAGTAAATCCAAAAGACATAGGCTACATAAAAAAGCAATTTCCAATACCTTTCTTGCCAGTGATGAAAAACAAATACATATGTTATTTTTCAAAATAATCACCCTGTACTTCGACATAGTCACCCTGTACTTTGACGTAGTCACCCTGTACTTCGACATAATCACCCTGTACTTAGACATAGTCACTCTACTTCGGCATAGTCACCCTGTACTTAGACATAGTCATCCTGTACTTCGACATAGTCACCCTGTACTTAGACATAGTCACTCTACTTCGACATAGTCACCCTGTACTTAGACGTAGTCATCCTGTACTTCGACATAGTCACCCTGTACTTCGACGTAGTCACCCTGAACTTTGACATAATCACCCTGTACTTCGACATAGTCACTCTGTACTTCGACATAGTCACCCTGTACTTAGACGTAGCCACCCTGTACGTTGACATAATCACCCAATACTTCGACATTGTCATTCTGTACTTCGACATAGTCACTCTGTACTTCGACGTAGTCACTCTGTACTTCGACAAGTCACCCTGTACTTAGACGTACCCAACCTCTACTTCGACATAACCACCCTATACTTCGACATAATCACTCTGTACCTCGATATAGTCACTCTGTACTTCGACGTAGTCACCCTGTACTTCGATATAATCACCCTGTACCTCGGGTATCGTTCAACCGACTTCTTCGTCCCTTCTGAACAGAAACGTTTCGCTTGCTCTCAAGAGTCCGCGTCTGCAACGCTTGATTGTTTGTGTACCGAACACGCACAAAATTTACCGTACCCCAAGTCATTTGCTCCATCCCCCACCTACTGACTTGAAAATCGTGTTAGTTGACTATTTCTATAAAGAATTCAACTCCTCGCCCAGTCATCAGGTCCATCCAATGTCGTTCCACAATTGTTAATAAAAGTAATTACTGTAAACAAATCATTTGGTGTTTTTGGAACCCGTTTTTTTTTTGTCAAAGTGGTCTTGCATGAATATACTTTTTAGTTGTATCACATCTTTTCCAAGAATCTGCAATGATCCACTGTATTTATCTTTGCACCATCTTCAATTTAGAAGGGAATTATTATTTTACTGCCAAAATTCTTCCTCTTCTTTATAGCTCATGTCCCCCTCAGGACGTAGCCGATTATGGCTCTCCACAATTTTCTGTCATTTGTATATCTTAATAATTTTTGTCTTTTCGTTATTTCTCCTAAACTCTGTTTCGCCATCCATTTACTCAACCATGTCAGGTTTATTATGCGTTGTTTTCCTTTGTCCCTCTTACCTTCAGTCTGTTCTGTGGGATTTTCCAAGCTCTCCTTCCTCATTATGTGTCCCAGAAGTTTCAACTGTCTCTTTCTAATGTTAAGTATAAGTTTATTTTTTGTTTCCATTTTCTCTGAAACTTGGTCAAGACGACTTGAAGTTGTCGGGTAATGTTTGGGTCTATTATTGTTGGCAGTAATAAACTAACACATTACCCGATAGATTATTAGAATACATATGCATGTTGTTTGTGTTTATATCCGGGGATATCTTTCAGTTACAAGGGATTTGTCACTTGAATCCCCAGATGATTCTTTCATGTGGTTTCGACTTTCGTTATTGCACTCTGTTAGATATCTGTTTTTTTTTCCTTTATTGCTCTCCTTCTCGTAACTCTAATATATTAGACAAAATATCTGACAATATAGAAATAATTCTCTCTCTCTCCCTCTCTCTCCCCATTCATTTGCGAATATTTCGTTTGTTTTTGGTGTTTTTAATATTCATCACGTCAAATGGCTTTAAGTATATTAATGTTACTGATATTTCCCTTATTCAGATTTTCAATTTCTCTCTTAATCAAATGGTGGATTTCGCTAATCGTTTTCCTAAAAAATCTGATCAACATCTTCTTTATTTAATGTGGTCTTCATCCCCTCTCCGACCTCCTGTCAAACATCACAGCTCGGTCATCTTGGCTATTCTAATCATGCAATAATATATGTTGACATTTCTTTTGAGCCGTCTATTACAAAGAAACATCCTATTCACAAGACTTCTTTATATTACTAGTGCACCGATTAGGATTCACTTTGTGACTTTTTTTGAGACGCCCCATGAATTGATATTCTTAACCTTCCTGTTGAGAATTGTGCCACAGAGGTTTCTTATTGAGTTAAAGTTGGCATCGATGCTTTTGTATTTTCTAGGAAATAGGTGGAATCACAAACTTCTTGTTTCACCCCGACCTTTTCAGCTGCTACAGCACACAGGAATCGCTTTTCCAGGTGTAACACCGTTCACAACAGACGCTTATTTGTGTCTGCGCGTAATAATTGTGAATGTGTCCTCAAGGATATTAAGTTTTTGTTTGCTGATAGAATTAGCCACTCTATAGCCTCTAACAAGTTTCGCTCTTGTGATTACTGGCGACTGTCTAATAGTGTATTAAATGTCTTCTACCCTCCTCTTTCGACTCCATTTGAGGTGTTACCATCTTCTGATAAAGCAGAATGTTTTGCTAGTAAATTATACTCTTGACTCATCTGGAACATCTTTGGCTGACTTTGCACTTAGAACTGAGTCTCTATTGAGTAATAGACATATAACTCCGGCCATAGTTTCTGTCATCATTTCTACACTGGATCCACTCAAAGCTCGTGGACTTGCCGGTATTCCTGCAAGAGTCCTTATGAAATGTTCTCTTGAACTGGCTCCTCTACAATAAAGTCGCTTTTTGCTTTTCTGTTTGTCAGAAATCCTCTCCCGTAGATATAGTCAAGAACTCAGGCGATCCGTCTGATCTTTCTAACTGTCGGCCTATTAGCCTTCTACTTCCTTTTGGCAAAGTACTAGAAGATCTAATCAAACTGGTCAAGGATCTCACCTCGCCGAGTTTTCTTTCAGATAAGTGTTAAAACTTGACTAATGCATGGAATAATAATGCAACACAAAATGTACTTAGAACAAAATGTATTGAAACAAGAAAGTGTACACAATATTGACATATAGTCTTTTGTATATTCCTGGTAAGACCGTTCCTGGAGAATGTGTTGACTGAGTCGCAGTCGGGCAGAGTCTCTGGTTGAATCTCTTGATTCCTTCCTCTCTTCCCGGTACCAACCATATTTATATGGTCGGTACTCCACTATGCAAATTAGGTGGATCCTACCACAACAATAAGCAATATCGTTTTCGCATCTCCAGGTTACCTATTGTTGTATTAACGATTATTGCCGAAAGAGTCTATCAAGCTTTCGATAAGAATGGTTAATCTCGGGTTATTGCTGATATCTCGAAGGTATTTGGCAAGGTTTGACATATTGGTCTTCTTCCCAAGAGTGAAACTTATGGTATGGACGAATTTTTTAACTGATTCAGTCCTTCTTATCAGACTTTATCAAATTGCCACTTTTCTCGATCTTTTAGTATTAATGCTGGTGCCAACCAGGGCTATATTCTTGGACGTACATTGTATCTCAGCTGATGACGCAACTATTTAATTCTGTCTTAATATTTAATTCTGAACAATTCGATAAGGTCACATTGGCAGCTTGCCACTTTTGTGATGTCAACGAATACTCGTTGTCACTTTCGTATTGCTCGTTGTAGTCGAAACTCAAGCAGAGAACCACTGAGGCGCTGAAGAATGTTACGCAAGATATGCTACAACGTGTTTGACAAGTGTTGGACTACCGACGACGTGTGTCGTGCCACAGGTGGTGCGCATATCGAACACTTGAGAATCTTTATGAAATTAGTTGTAAAATCTATATCCCTCTGAATAACTTATTCCAATTTTGATAATTTTTTTTTTTTTTTTAGTTTAACATGAGGCTTATTTTTTTTTTCCTTGGCCTGGAACATGAACTTATTCAGACATATCCATTTTAAGTTCTGTCAATTTTTGGTATATTAAAAGCTACAAAGAACAGGGAATTGTGGAAAGCCATGATCGCCAACATCCTGAATGGACATGGCACCTATAAATTAAATATGAATTTTTACTAATGGATGTTTTATATAGTTACGGATACAATTATTGTAACGCCGTTGAACAATACTGGTGTTAGACGCCTTCAATATCACTCGCACTAATAGTACTTGCTCGATAATACTCGCTCGAATAGCAACCAGCGAATAGTGATCCGAATATAGAAATAGTATAGTGAATAGAGTAGAGAATAGCGGTCCAAATAGTAATAGAGGATAGACGTGAAAATGCGATCAATTAGACATAACGCAACCTCCTACTTATGCGTTTCCTGTATGGTCACGTAGTCTTCAATAATGGGATCGCCTGCGTTTGCTCACTGGCGATCTATGTTCAAACTTAAGTGTCGGCAGAGACACTTTATTCCTAACAGATGTTAACTGGAGAAAGAAATAGCTTGTTAGGTTTAACGCATCCAAAACGAAACAGCTCTCTATTAATTATCTGAGGGAACCCTTTCTGTGTCCCATCAGCAGAGGTCCTCATGGTGCCTTGTCGGGCTAACGTTTTCTGCTGACATGAAGTGCAAAGATTATATCTGCTGCTAGGGAGGTTGGTTCTTTGTGTCGTGTTAGAAAAGTTTCATGCCTGAATGTATCTGACATATTTATAAGTCTACCATTTATACATGCTCTAAATATTACTGTCACATATGGTCTGGCGCTCCTGAAATAGATTTAGAGATTTTAGATAAAATACAAAGAAGAATCTGCAATGTTATTAGTTTGGACCTGGCATCTCACCTTCAGACCTTTTCTCACCACCATAATGTAGTTTCCCTATAGGTTTTTTTCTTTTTTAAATAAATACGTTCATGGTAATTATTCTGATGAACTTGCCTCTGTTTTGCTTTGCGGTTAGTTTTTTAAATTTTTGTTTTATCCCCCTCCCCCATATACAATGAATTGTACATATGGGAACTAGTTAGGATTTTCATAGAGACAATGAGGTATTATGGTGGATGCAATAAGGAAGGTAAGTAAGAATGCGTTGTTTTGGTGTAAGGGATATTGTTGTATGTTTGGGTCAGTGTTTTTGGCTAGCTAATTTTTATGTTAAGACAGAAAAAGACCGTCCTTTTCTCCATTCCCCTTTTTGGCCTTGTGACACATTTTGTATTATCATACAAATAAATATTACTTCCCTCCAGTGTACCTAGACATTATGAATTTTAGTGCAGTACTAGATTGGCTGCAAGATAACAATTCGAAATAGCTAGATGTAACCGTAAGTTCTATGCTAACAGTTTCCTTTATCGCACTTCTCTCATGTGGAACTCAGTCCGGTATTCATGATTTCCAGTCATGTTTGATTTTCAAGAATTTAAATGCAATTTCAATCGTTATTTTATCTCTTCTTTAATCTTGTTCTTTTGTTGTTCTCGCTCTTTGATAATGTTTTGTTTTTCTTATATTGTTCACGCAGACTAACCCTCTACTTCTTAGTGGCTTTATTGCCTTGCTTGGTGTGAAATCATTAAAAAGTATGAGTGTCAAGCAACTCGGTTTCTAGAAAGTGACAGTCAGACAACCTGCACACATGATTTGATTATAGTGGTGAAGGCTTTGTGCAGAACCAACAACAGTTTTTGAAGGGCCGAATTCAGAGACCTGGTGCACCGTGTAACCACAAGCTCCCCAATCGACCCTCCGCAGGTTCTCAATTCATAGTTGTCATTGTCCTAGACCAGTTGCCATCCAAGGCTATAGAACTCAGTTTGTCTGGGGAGAGAAGTAGAGGATTCATACCTTTCCCAATGATATTAGCACATAAGTGAATGTAATGGATTTGACTGGAATTCGAACACGGCTCCCTATAGATAGATAGATAGATAGATAGATAGATAGATAGATAGATAGATATGGGTTTCCGGCTCCTTCTCAAGTCTTCTCATTCTCTTTCACTCTGTGTGTCCCCTTGAGACTTCATGGCATTATAACTTTACTTGAAGTCGAATAATAAAAGAAATGTAGTATTTTCAATAGACAAACAATTTAGATTTTAAATTTGACGACCTTGCCGTCATCGAAGCGACGGGTGCCAAGAATATTACAAGATTAGTTGTGAATACATTGTCTTATGTTACAGAATTCTGACCCCATGTAAACATTTATGTATATAAGGAAATGTGCATGAAGAAAAGTCTGGAGCATATAGCATTTTTCTAAAACTCACAATGATGTCTCTGTCCATAAATGGATCCATACAATGGACTTCTATTCGCCTGCACCGAGTTTTTCATGCAATTGTTAAAGAACTGAAGACCCGCACGAGAAAAAAGAAACTAAGACAACTCGATGTACAATTGCGTTGGCATCAAAGACGATTCCAGTGAAAGTCTTTGTGGAAGCGAGTAAGAAGCGAATGGAGGCGAAAGAAAACTTGTCGGCCATCAATTAGGATACAAAAACGAATCAAATGATTTCGAGTTAGAAGCAAAATAAAAAAGAAAATAGAACAACGAAGAAAAGAAGAAAGAGGAAGAAAAAGCAGAAAGAAGAAAAATAATAAAGAGGAAGAAAAATTAAGAAAAAGAACAAAGAAAAAGAAGAAGAAATTACTGTGGTTGCCAAGGCTCAAAGGAAACGGCAGATCGTGAAGGAGAAATATTTGAAGGACTGAAATGACTTCGACTTGGAAGTAAAAATATGATAAAGAAAAAAAAGAAAAACAAAGAGGATGAAAGAGAAATATTTGAAGAAGAGATGAAACAAATTGAAGAAGAAAAATAATTAAGAAGAAAAAATAAAAAGAAGAGAAAGAAATATCGAGACAGAAGAAAGAGGAAAAAATGACAAAGAAGAAAAAAATGCTTGTGGTCATCTGGACTACAAGAAAAATGGAGACGGTGAAGGAGAAATATGTGAAGACGAAGTGAATAATGGGATGACAGATGAAAGATGACGACATCTAGGATAAGAAAAAGAAGAAGAAAAAAGAAAAGAAAAAGAAAAGAAGATGAAAAAAGAAGAAGCAAAGAAGAAGAAAAAGAAGAAGAAAAGAAGAAGCAAAGTAGTAGAAAAAGAAAAGAAGAAGAAGACAGTAATGGGCAGGAAGTATAAAACGGCAACAGACAGAATAAGAAATAAAATAGTGAACGAAGAAGAAGAAGAAGAAGAAGAAGAAGAAGAAGAAGAAGAAGAAGAAGAAGAATAACAACAACAACAACAAAAAGAAGAACAAGAACAAGAGGATGGACCAAGAAGAAACAGAACCCGGATGAGGAGAATGAAGCGGAGAATTTTGACAGATGAAAAAGAAGAAAACGGTTACCGTTGAGACTAAAATCAAGTGTTGAAGTTGAAATAAATGTAGATAAAGAAAATAAAAGAAAAAGATGATAATAAGGAAGAAAAAAGTGAACGAAAATGAAGGATAAGGAAGCAGAAAATATTTTTGATTGTAATGATTATAAAAAAATACATTCCCCAACGAATATATCACCCGTTGAAATGTTTCGCATCACACACTTTACATATCCTGTGGTGTTAAAATTCTCCCAATCATCTTTCCTCATTATATTTCTCAAACATTACGCAAACTGTAAATGTTACAAAAAGGTTTAATTACTATTCTCCTTAAAACTTCCTAATTTGTCTCATCATATGCCTAAGTTATTCTCAACATTATTTAGTAGAGCGACATCTTGCTCGTCTCCATTTTTTAAGATCATTTCAAAGAAAAACATAGGACTTTCTCTGTCATATTTGAAAGGGGAAATCGCAAAGCAATTCAGATTTCTTTGTTTTTAATAGAATTTTTTAGGCTTTAGTATATGAAATGTTTCTTCTAAAATGCCTCTGTACTCCCATGTCACAGTTTCCCTCATTCGTTATTACACTCCGCAAATATTTGAATTTTGACGTCCCCAGTGTGTAACTCTGACCTTGTGTTGTCCCTTTTGATAGCTAACATGCATTCCGTTTTGCAATAATAGTTAGTCCATTCTTCTTGCTTTCCTCAACCATCTTGTTCACTAGTTCTTTCAATTGTAAATAACGATGACTCTTCACACCAGAAATTCAGATGTACTTAGTGTTCTTATTTAGTATTGTTCAGTTATTGATCTCCCTATTTCCAATGAGTTTACGTTAGTACTATAGTGGAAACAGAGCGAGCAATAACTGAGCAGTTGTAAAAAGAAAAGAACAAGATATCACAAGACATGGACAATAGAACGAAAAACATCCATCCCCGTAGATTAATGGATTTAGTTTGAAAAAATTCCGAAGGTTGCCCTGATCGACAGACATCTAAAGAAGAATAGGGACACACAATTGTTCAAATGTTGAAAATTGTCCAAATATTAACAACAATGAAAAGAAAGCATTAGTTCCAGTTTAAATAACGATGACTTTTCATGCCAGAAATTTAGACAAAAATCAATCAGTAACTACCTGAATGGATCGATAAAACAATTACAGGGATTTATTTTGTTCACTGAGTTGAAAAGTAAGAAAATTAAAATAACATACACTCGGGGATTTGGGAAAGACTTGAACGTAAATTTTATAATTTAAAAATTTGATGACTTAACATTGCTACCTTGTCTTTCTTCTATGAGCAAAACTTGACTCTACTCCTGCATCTTGTGAATAACTGACACAAAAACAACGCATTTTCCTAAGTGTAGAAAGAGATAAAAAATAAAATAGTGTTTCTAAATTTATTTTGAATTATGTTGAATCAAAAGTTTGGATAGCTAAGAATTTTTAGGTGCTGAATCCAAAAATAACATTAATCTTTTAGTTGTCCTTCTGAATTTGCTAAAACTTTCTATGTAAAAATTCTTTTTAATCTGTAAATAAATTGAACATCATTTACAACCATAAAGGCGAAGAGATATAACATCGCAGTTCGACCCTTTTTTTTGGTTTCCAAGGAGATTTTCCCATCTCTTAATACTGTGTTTAGTTTCTGAAAAGCTTCTTCCGCCATTCCTAACCAGCTTCTAATTTTTGTGCCACATTTCTTTTGTCTGTTATTACACTACTCAGAGAGTTCAATTTCTGCACTTGCTTGTGGCTCACTTTTACAATTCGTACAACAAGCCTTGGGCTGTCTCTACCACTGACCACCATGTATGCTGTCTTATTGCAGTTTATAACCCAAGTCTACAATTCTTTGGGGGAAACGGTGTGTCGGATGTTTTGGCTAATTTTGAAAAATCTTTAAGTGCTTAATCCAAAAAGAACACCAATCTTCCATCATTTGCTTAGTTTTGCTGCTCCAGAACAGCATATCCTACATAAAAATCGTCATGATTGGATGATGCCACTTTAAACTAAAAGAACAAATTGTTCTTTGAAACTTAAACACAATCTTGTGAAATAAAATAGAACTTCTGGAATACAAAAGAAATATAACACAATATGTGATTAAAAGTCGAATATGGAGAATAAGTAGCAATCATAGTAAGAACTTTAGCTGATTTGATTTTCGTGAATATTTAGTAGATTAGTCTCACTTTCAATTCCATCATCAGTCAGCCATCTTTATTTTGACACATCTTCCTTGATAGTTTTCTTCCAGAACTTTAACATCTTGGTGGAATCTTTCACCTTTGCTCATCAATAACATCACCTAAATTAAATTATACCACAGTCAAATTCTCCTACAAACATTTCATACAGACTTTGTAAAGTGATTATATCCAATGACTGTATATTGTTTCTTTTCATAACTAATTAGAAGACTACAATTACACTATCATTATCCGCATGCATTTAGGACCTTATAATGTTTCCATTCATAACTTAGAACATTACAATTACACTATCATTATCATCATGCATTATATCAAAGCACTTTCTAATTTTTTCATTCATAACAATACAATTACTCTATCATCTCTATCTATAAAAGGCAGGGTGTGTGTATGTTTGTGTGTGTAACGAATGCACGGCCGCAATTTTCGATGGATTTGCACCAAAATTTACATGCACATGCTCCAAGTTAGCGGGAAGGCCAAGACCAACTTTGCATTTCCCAACTCCCATCGATAGTGGAAATAATCGATTTTTTCATGCTTCTACGGCAGTTTTCATGTAGTTTGCGGCCATTTTGTACTGGCCATGGTGAGAGCCAATAGCTGGCTGCTACGAATAGGCAGGAAGATTCTATTGGCCAGTGTGAGAGCCAACAGCTGACTGACACGAATGTTAACTAACATGCTAGCATGCAAAAAAAAATCGATAGCTGCATTCGTCACAAGTGGGAAAAATTTAAATCTGCATGGCACTTTATTCCAATTGGCTCATTCGCTTGCTTAAACTCAACGTTGATTCTGATTCCGCAGAACTGGGTTGGGTGTGAAAAAGTATTTGTCCTTAACATTCTTTATTCATTCTGTTTTTCCAGTTACGAGTCCTTTTTTAAAGCTGATCGTTTTGTGTTCATTTTGTTTAATTCTTTTTTCGTAACAGACTTAATATTTAGTATAGAGCTTAGAAAAAATTCGCAGTGTGAGGCAAGAAGTAAGGCATGTAGCAACATCAGCACCTCAAAGGGCACTCCTTTAAATGCAAGGAGGTGCAAAAATATTTTGAGTCGTACGATTTTTTAATCAAGCACGGGAAACGCCGGGCCATGCTGCTAGTTATCAATATATGCATGATGATAATAACAGTTTAATTGTATCGTTCTAAATTGTGGTTTTTACAGAAGGCATTTAAAATTAATTTGAACATGATGGGAAATTTGACTATAAATAGATTTATACAGAAAAATGTGGAGCTAATGAGTAAAAATGGACTTGACATTTAGACTCAAATGTAGCTAAGAAAAAATATAAATAGACCTTCACAAAACACGTGAGGGCCCGTATAATTTGTCCTTTCTTCTTGCTTTCCTTTATTCTCTTGTCTCAGAGTTCTTGCCGTTTTTCTTCTAAGTCGTCTGTGTTTCGAACTCTTCAAAACATTAGTCATGGAAATCTTTTTCAAAAGGTGCGCAGACGCATTATTACTCATTTTTCTCTTCGGAATAATTAAAAGCCTTACTTTTTCTTTTTAGCAATTTCAACACATGAATAAAATGAAGGATATATTACGTATTCCATATGTAAATAATAAGGGAAAAACTTTTTAAAATCTCTTTGAGGAAGTCGCGTCAAGGGAATATACTTGAAACACCTGGAAATACAAAAAAATATTATCATAATATGTTGCATGTTTATTTTCCCCTCAGAAATTGGAGATAAAATCTCACTCTAAAATCTAAAACGTCTACTAATTTTATATTTGCGCTTTTTTACCCAACTTTAATAATGAAAAAAAAGACTGTGTGATGGGGTAATGGACAGCGACTCGGATTGAGGAATCGGAGTGCTGAGATCGAATTCTAGTCGATTCCATGAAATTCACTTATGTGCTCATACCCTTGGGAAAGGAGTGAATCCTCCTTTTCTACTCCTCCACCAGCTATGGGTAAATTTCAGGACAGATCGGGTTCTATAGCCTTAGATGAATGACAAAGAAACAGAGAACATCAAAAGTACAAAGAATAATCTACAATATTATTGGTCCTGATCTGGCATCTTGACCTCAGTCATTTTTTCCACCATCATAACATGGCTTCCCTGTGCCTTTTCTATAAATATCTTCATGGTAATTGTTCGGTTGAATTTTCTTCTTTTGTATCTAAACTTCATGAATTTAAGCACAGTACTAGATTCCAGTCAAATCCAATACATTCACTTACGTGCTAATACCCTTGGGAAAGGTAGCAATCCTCTTCTTCTCCCCACGGATATGGGTATATTTGAGTTCTATAGCCTTGGATGGCAACTGGTCTACTAAAGAAAGAAATGGCAACCTACTGCGGGAGAAAAAATATGCTTCGTCAGTTATGTATCGAAAGATACACGATCGCCTAAGCGTGTATCACGCATGGCACATAACTGACTGACAGTTTTGTATATTATTTCATAATTATTATCCTCAACTCATATATACAGAGTTCAAAATCTTAACCTTTTGATACACAATCCTACGTAATGAGTTTGTGTAAATGAAAAATAAGAAAAAGATAAAATACAGCGTTCCCGCAAAAAAATGACATAATTTTGTCGTCTAATAACATAGCCAATTCTAGCTCAAATGACACCTTGTGATTTTTTTCTATGGGGCTATGTAAAAGGACAGGTCTATATCTCCTTACTTTCTACAAGCATAGAGAAATTTAAGCAGAGAACCCCTGAGGCGCTGAACAATGTTACGCAAGACATGCTACAACGTGCTTGGCAGGTGTTGGTCTACCGACGACGTGTGTCGTGTCACAG